AAATTAACAGGCGCCTTTTACCTTTTACTTTTTGTTCATTAAAGACTGGCAATTCCAGGGTTGCAATCATCGAAATGATTCTAGTGAAAGAGTATGAAGTTTAAAAACACAGAGGAGCACTTCCTGTATTATCACAATTTTCTGTTTGAGAAAATTATTAACCTAAATATGCAGAGTATGTGTGTTTAACATGTGTGAATGAAAAAAAGCTACTCCAGGTATGTTTGTGATGAAGAAACAAAATAATAACATAGACCAGAAAATAGTGTAATATGGGCCCTTAAAGGGGTTTCCAGTTTCCAGTGGAGCAGAAGAGCAGTTTTTATCATTCAGTTCTATCAACAAAAGTGATGTAAAGTGTCTGAGATAACAGGGTTAGTCAACTAACTCAGCACCTACAATTTGTGTGAATCATACATTTTCCATCTCTGTCATGTTTCGTGTAAATCTAATAATAACACTATCTGTGTAAGTGAAACCCAGGCTTTGCCCACAAACTAGAAAGTAGATAGTAGTTTAGTCAGTTCAAACCTCATGTTAGAGAAATTCCATTTCAGCATTATCTGCAAGCTCAGCTGTGTTATCTTCGCCTGCTACAACAGAAGCACAGCCAGACTGGACTGCACTAGACTAGAATGGACAACACTATCACAGTGTCTTGAGGGTTCATGTCTCCAGGTGCCAGGTCTGTACTGATGTCAATAAACTTCTCCTGTGTTAGAACTCCAGGGTCGCGTCTCTTCTCTTCAAATCTCAGTCCACTACAATTTATTCTACAACACCTCATTTATACTCATAAACTGTGATAACGGTGATCACCTGTCCTGGTTGTTATGAAGTCATTTAATCCCCCAGTCCCACTGATGTAATGCCAAACTTTTTCACAATTATATATGATATTTACTGAAAAAAGCAAGAATGGTAACCTATTTTGTGAGTGAATTATGTAAAAGATTTTTGCATGGAATAATAAAATAAATTCATTCATTCATTAAAAAAAGGTAGGTAGTAGGCTGTTGGACCACTCCTGGGTGAACAAGGGAGTACATGGAATAGTGGAATCTTGGATATATAAGTAGCCAATAGACTCTGCAAGTGGGCTTATTTAATTTTAAAACTTCTACTTCTGAGCTTCCAACTTTTACAAAATTTTTAGGAAGTGGGCAAAACACTTTACTTACACCTCCAATTCCAGTGTGTAGTTGGCCATAACAAACAAAACTACATTCAGATTCCCAAAACTGTATTACTCTCTAGAAAACTACACTTTTAGGGTCAGCAAAAGTTCCTCTGCTCTGCCATAACTCCAAATGTAACTGCCTCCACTTCCTCCACAGATAAGAAAGTGAAGTGAAGTGGTGGGATGAGGAGTTGTGAAGGTGCAGAGGGAATCGTCAGGGAGGTGCAGAGAGGTGGTGATTAAAAACTCACGCTACAGATGTTTCCATAAAACTTCAAAGTGTGCTTGCTCTACCTGTGCTAACACTGGGCACTAATCCATTATGGAGACTCTGCCCATTCTACACACACAAACACACACACACATCGAAACACACACACATCGAAACACACACACCTGGCTCTGACATCACACAGCACGGTCCTCCTGGCAGAGCTCCACCATCAGGCTCTCACAGGGGTCACTGCTCCCAACACAAACTAGGCCCTGTGCAGCGATGGAGAGAGGCATGATGGGAAATGGCACACACGCTCAGAACACAACTAAAAATCACCAAACTGAAGCATGTTTTTGTACAAGGTTATGAGATGAAGTTACTCTGAAGTTATTGATCCAAAAGAAGGATTACTTGGACATAGTGGTGCTAAAATTTTGGTGCAGTAACAAAGAGTAAAGAATAAATGCTATATCAAATTCTAAATAACTATAAGGTACAAATTATAGACTGTATATTTAAATGGACATTGCTAATCTGCTAGTCACCAGTTTCTAATTAGGAAGTGAGCAAGGACATGTTCCATCGACACCATTTCTAATTCACTTTGTATTGAGAAAACGTAAGCCAGGCTGGTGCCACCTATTGTCTCAGTTCAGTTTCATTTCTCTCTAGTGACTAGGTCAGGAATCGGAATACACTAAACGGTTTGCAAGAACCCTGGAAGTTGTAGACCACGTACTGGCCAATCAACGAAGAGCTGTGAAGCCATGACATCAAACTCAAGTGCCTGTCTGGGTCCCTTTTGTGGTACAGCACAACAGTAAACAAAGCCGTCGAGATGGATGTAGACAAAGCTATACATTCTGTGTTGGCAATGGTTCCCGAGATTGAGGGTTTAAAGCCGGAACAAAAAGAATTTTTGGTGAATTTTATCAAGGGGAAAGACGTTATTGGCCTTCTTCCTACGGGATTTGGGAAAAGCTTAATATATCAGTTAGCCCCGTTAGCAGCGCATTACATACATCATGACCAAATAGCAGCGATTGGTTCAATAAAAAAAGTACCCGCCTACCGTCGAGGGAACGAATCCTAATGCTGCGAGATCAGCTGATGAATCAGGATAAGAAAACGTCGCTCCTCTCTCCATAACTACTGCAGTAACACTGTTTATTTCAGCCTTAAAATGTTCATATTAACCCACTCTACATGATCCTGGTGTTTTTATTTTGCTATTTTGTCCATAAATCAGTTCCTATTCCTAATATGGAACTGGCTCCAAATTTGCTCTTATAACTGCCAGCTTTGTGATCTTCATTTTGCCAGAGCCGAATACTATGGATTTGTAATGGATTGTTTAAATCCAGGCTCAAAATGGTTCTGTTTAGCTGTGCATTTGACTGAAAGGTTGTAATTCTGCACTTTCCTCTCTCATTTAATGTCTCTCTCTCTCTTTTTATTTGTTTGATTAGTTTGCATTGTGATTTTATAATGTATTTCTTATTCTGTAAAGCACTTTGATTTACTTTATGTACAAATTGTGCTATACAAATAAACTTGCCTTGCCTATGGATGATGTCACACTCCCTTAGTCCACTTCTTTATACAGATATACAGATATGCACACGTAAAATAAAATAAAACATTAGGCATAACATAAGGCAGTCCTATGTCATTCACATCAGACTCACACGATTGTATAAAGTCACAGAATACACCCAAATGAATGAATGAATGAATGCCTGACTATAAAAGGCTTATATATTGAGTAATTATGTTTAAGATTAAGTATAGGCCTGTATGTCAAAGGTATAATTCTTTTACATAATGCAGGGCCAGCGGGTTTCTTTCAAAAAGACTGCTGGACCTGTAAAGCCTGTCACTTTCTTGTCAAGGAATCTTTAAAGTGACTCTGAAGGCATTTAAAGTGATGCATTGTCACTTTGAGGTTTAACTGACTGCTAACGACTTGCTTAATGACATTCTTTCCAGATTTGCAAATTTTCCTCATTTCACTATGTGCACTTTCACTGAAAACCTGCAGTAATATTCAAGTTATAAATTCTGCATTTGAGGAACAGCAAAAAATCTTTGAAATAGGTGGTCACTTTTTACTTTGAAGTATCCACTCTGTGTTGATGTAATCCCTTCTGTTGAATATTTCAGCAGCACTTTAACCTTGCTCCGAGTTGGAGAAACATTTAGAGGTCGGACCGCCAGTGTTGTGTGTTTTGGTGGGTCCCCTGACAGCTGTAGTACTCTCCACGGCCCCCGAGAGACACTGACAGGGGCCACGACGACAGGGGCCACGGCGACAGTCACCGGGCTCAGACCAGTGGTGTGTGAAATGAATCCAGGGCAAACGCACACGTACACACACAGCGACGCTCTGACCATGCACACACGTGAGGTGAGAGGAGGGACAGTTAAAGAGGACAAGTGCACACCAGAGGGGAATGGGAAAGCAGAGGAGACACAGGCAGGATGTGTACTGGCCTCTGCTGCAATGATAGCACTTCTCAGTAAATACAGCCACTATAAATATTTATGAATCCACTGAATGCTTTCTGCGAAATTGTGTTTGTTGGTACAGCTTCGGAAGTTTGGTTTAGTTTAGTAAGGAAACAAGACATCAGGCATTGTTACTGAAAATACACATTGGTCCACTAAAACAAACATGTGGGATTGGGATACTGGAGCGTAATTATAAAAGAGCTTTTCTAAATATAAAACATTTTTGAAAGAAGCAGTAATTCTGTGCCACTTATATTAATTTAGTAAAATCCTAAGAGAGTTGCTGCTCTAGGCTACATGAGCACACCTACTTACTTAATTAGTTAATCAATTAGTAATTGTTAAATCAAGGATTAGTAAGCACTAGTTTTCAAGTACTAGACTGCAGACTTCACTGTGCAGAAGTAAATGCACAAAATCAACTTGAGTGTGCATGGATGAAGGAGTAGGGCATTGCTCTATTAGAACAAGAATTGAAACATATCTTGGCAAAAAAAGTTTACATCATGTGAAATTTTGAAATAGACAGAGGGTGAGTCAAACCCAGTCAATACAGCAACATAAATGAATGACAAGTCTTGAGACCAAATGTTTACAGACTGTGCCTTTTTACACAGCCTGCTTGTTTATCTGAATAGAAAGTGGCTGAATTGAACAGGTAGAATAATACGAAGTGCCATTTGCATCTACAAACTGCTTAATTTACCTCTTTGAGCGCATCCAACGCAGAGAAATCAGGGCGGTCTCTGTTAGGAACACCTATCCTCTCTTCTGATTGGCTGTGGCCCCTGTCCGTCAGCACGTACGCGCCTCAGCAGCATCTCCCACAGACGCAGAGCGGCAGCGCAGCTTTTCCAGCTCCACAATGAGATTCAAGGCACTTGCGGCTCGTCTGCAGCAGCGATAGGCGAAAAGAGGAGAGAAAGAGAGAGCACCTCGCCTCCTCCTCAGCCAGCGAGTGAGGATAGAGAAACACCGAGAGGAAGGAGCCAGAGGAGACCCGTGGAGTAACCTAAAAACAACAAGACTTTGCGGTTCGGACCACCCGCGGAGGAGTGTTTCGTTGAGTGAAGTGACCGATTTTCGTTCGACATGTCATCGTCCGGTAAAGACAACAGCGGTGCCCAACATGCCAATTACGTGGGACCTTACCGTTTGGAGAAGACGCTGGGGAAAGGACAGACAGGTTAGTTTGGCACTATTTCTTTACGCGAGTTCACGTTTGACCGGTGGCAGGTGCACAATAGTTGGCTTTACCTATAGGAACACGCATCGGTTTCTCCCTGCGTTGACATAATCATTACCAGCATGGGGGGATTTAGGGAGAGCTGTTGCGGCTTTACGTCGGCTTGTTTTTGCATGTGCTCTGGCGCTTGGAGCAGGTGGGCGTGCGTCTCTTCCCCATTGAGAATGACATTGGAGGGGGGCATGCCGAAGATGGGAACGGTGGAACTTTTTGGAGTGCGTCCCCTCGGTCCCGTTCTTGCGTTCGTGTGGCTGGGTGTCAGTTGGGATTGGACCACAGCGCAGTTAATCCGTGTTTGCCTGATACATTGATCTATTCTTAGTCTGCAGGCAGGCAAGGCAAAGACAAGCAGACAGGCGTTTCTCCTATAGGCTTGCAGCATTCAGCTACGTACGTGGGTTTTCCTTTTGGATGTGGAGCACTGGCTTAACAGAATACATTTAAAAAAAAAAAAGAGGAGGGGGAATATTGGTGCTAGGCGGTCCATTTGCATAATAGAAAGTAGAGCACATTCTTTCTACCAGCAATGACACTGCAGTTTGCTAAAGTTGTATTAAATTGTGATTTTTAGTTTTAGGTTATAAGGTTACATCAGTGCCGTTGGAAATGCTTGCACAGTATTGACACTAATGGCAAAAATGCATTAAGAGAGATTCTCCCTCCCATCTGCTCTTCATAGAGGATACAATAGACTCCACTTCTTGCTTCTGTGCCAAGGTCCAGCTGGTCACGCTGGCTTGAGCCATGTGCCTATATAAATGTTTGTGTGCTTCGATAGACTCTCTCTCCATTCATTATCCTACACAAAATCATGTCCTGAACAGCTGAAAGAGCCAAGAGATGTACTTATTGCTCCATCTTGTGTAACACTACCCCGCTATACAATCTAAAATATGTTGCAAAGTGAATGTAGTCTGCTGTATCCTCTTCCTTCACCATAAGAGATTAACCCCAAATGCAATATTAAAACTACCCTGGCTCGACTCCACTGCTTATATTTAATAATTTGTGTTCAGTGGTACATTTTTCACTGTAGCAGCCAGGCACTTTGGCTTTAGCTCATGGGAATTTTGGATCACTGTTTATGCTTGTGTGGAGCTTACAGCATGCTCTATTGGGTACCTACTCTTATTTGCTTAATGATAAGTTGTCAGAGAGATGGTTGCTGCTGCTGAAGATGTATTCAAGTCATGTGAAGTGCTGGTTTTCACAAGTATTTTTCTCTGTACGCCTCTGATGTATCACAGAGAAACCAAGCCAAAGCGTGGAGCCAGCGTGGATCATAACTCAGCCATGCTTCATTAGCTTCTATGCGTCAGAACGTGTTGACCTTTAATTTCAATTTTTTAAACCATCTTGCACCTTCTATAAATCAACACAGCAACATGTGTCTTCGTAGTCACCTCTATTACGCCTCAAAAGGGGTGTTAATAAAAGACCCCGTGACTTCCATGTTTGAAAAATCATTTGCTCATTGGCATCCATGTACACCAGGCCTTGCCAGACCTATTCAGATTAACGACACTGTATAACATCCCATTCGCCCATTAACCATGCGCTAATCTTTCACATCTCTTCCCCTGCAGGCCCAGAGGAAAAGGTTGGTCTGGCAACTCTTGAAGGGCCCATATTACACTATTTTAGTTTCCATCAAAACATACCCGGAGTTGTGTTTTGTTTCATTCACACCTGTTTGACACACAAAGCCTGCATATTTTAGAGTTCTTCTGTCAAACAGAAAACACCTGTTCCACCTTGTGATGATAATAATACAGGACGTTCTCCACTGTATTTTTAAACTCCATATACCTTCACTAGAATCACTTGGAACTGCCAAACTGTAGCCTGATTCATCAGCCTGTTTCACTTCGTGGAAACAGTCTGACCTCACAGCATTAGAATTTGTTCGCTCAAACGGTAGGCGGGTACTTTTTTTATTTAACCAGCCGCTGCTATTTGGTCACGATGTATGTAATGCACTAACTGGGCTAACTGGTATGTTAAGCTTTTCCCAAATCCCATAGGAAAAAGGGCAATAATGTCTTTCCCCTTGATAAAATTCACCAAACATTCTCTTTGTTCAAGCTTTAAATCCTCGATCTCGGGAATCGTTGCCAACACAGAATGTATGGCTGTTCGCTGATTGGCTGGTGCCCGAACTCACACTTCTGGGGTTTTTGCAAACCGTCTAGTGTATTCCGATTCCTGACCTAGTCGCTGGAGAGAAATGAAATTGAACGGAGGCACTAGGTGGCGCCAGCCTGGCTAATCAAACGGTGCTGAAGAAAGGTAAAAGTACTGCTTCATGACATCACAAGGTGGAACTGAGCATGTTTAGTTTCGGAGATGTAGACAGATTAATAGTAATGGGTTACTCAGCCATGTGTGAATAAAACAAAACTCCAGGTATGTTTTCATGAGGTAAGAACGTTTTAACATGGCTTTAATGACCTTTAATGACACTGCATAACATCTAATTCGCCCATTAACAATCGCTAATCTCTCACATCGCTTCCCATGCAGGTGCAGCGGAAAAGGTTGGTCTGGCAACTCTTAAAGCACCCAATGAGCTTGTCTTGGCTCTGAATGGCATCCGGGTTAGTCCAATAGTCTAAGTCCCCCGTGAGCAATCCTGCACTGAGGTTGGCAGGTATTATTAGAAGGGGGAAAGCGGAAGGCCTGTGCTTGATCTGGCTGTCCTGCTCGGAGGAGTGGTGCAGTTCATTAAGTGATTAGGCTGTGTCCTAACACATACACATGGCCACCACACAGGTTCTGCTCTGGCTTCCTGATCTAATCCTCCATGCAGCCAAAGTCCCCTCGGCGAGCACAAACACCCACCCACACCAACACACACACGGATTCACGTGTTCAAGCTGCAAACAGAGGAACTTAATGGGTCACAAATGGTAACAATGGTCAATGTTATAACAAGTCTCAGCCAGTCTCCCTTTACACTCATCATATTTAAACTTTTTTGTTAAAAATCTCGACCAGTTGACTAATAATAATTGTTAGCGCTGCATTTAATCTGAATAATTGTGACTAGTTGACTGTTAAAATAATCGTAATCGTATTTGGATAATCTGTATATGGACGATACAGAGTCTAAAACACATGTCAAAAAAAATTTGATAGCAAAGATGATGGTATCAAATAAAAATGCCTAAACAGAATAGAAAAAAAATTGATTTGTATTAATAATACACTATATTGTGTAACTAGAAGTCTTCAATCATCATATTTCAACTTGAAAAAAACTAAATATTTGACCATTTGACTAATAATAATTGTTAGTTGCAGCCCTAATGTTAATATGAACAAATATTTCACTATAGGGACATCACAGCTTTTAAGTTAGAGGACTTCTTGTGTTGTTTAGAAACTTAATGTCCCCCAGTAACAGTCTATTAAGTTATTACTAATGCAACAGACTCCCCTGGTATCGTCCTTTGTATTATACTCCAGCTTTTCTCCCTCACCCGTGTAATTAAAATAAGAACTGAGATAACTAAACACAGAAAATGAGTCACTTTTCATGATTTAAATTTAATATCTCTTCTATTTCTGTTATAGACAATGTACAACTATTTGCTTTTTTCTTAGGTACCATTCTTCATTGTGACTGGTTTATCTAGAAGGAGTGTTTGTGGAAAAGCAGACGTGTGTTTTGAATATAGAGCGGCATTAAACAAAAGAGAACAATATAACCATCTTTCCAGATTAGCAGTCTCAAGGTCAGGTCAGATCACTAATGGCTTTTATATCTCCTATTTACCTTCACATTCAAACTATGGAAAGTGCACAGACATTGCCAGTAGCTTCATAAATCCTGCTCCCTTTTTGGTCTGGTTCCTCTCGTTCACTTTACCGTTCCCATTGGGTTTTCCTGCTGTCTGTGTGATATCTTTGTCAGGTGGTCATTGGTCCTTGATGGAATCTTTAGATATGGAGTGTCTGCATGGCTGGTTACTGATTGGTCTGAACCCACAAAAGCATGGAAGCAATTTTCAAGCTTTATAGCGTTATTGCATTTTAGTAACAGGGTTTTGAAATGATGGTTCTTCGCTGTTCTTTGTGCGAAACTAGAATTTACGTTGTTCTCTGTGACACTGCATTAGCCCTGTTTATGCTTTGCAGTGTGATTACATACGTTTTGTCATTTTTTCAGGTATCAAATATTGTGTGGATCTAGAAACATTTGCAGTATTGGGTATCTTTTTTTTTTACTTTACGGACTCTTTACTGACTGATGTAAATACTTGCAGGATATGTAACAGTTACATAACACAATCAGACCCATTTTGTAATAAGTTAACTGTATTTTGAGAGAAAAAAAAGCAAATTTCAGTTCCTACTCTGATGTAAATTAACGTCAATATTCGCAAATACTTAAAGCCGCAGGATCAATATTGGTATGGGAACAGAAAAGCCTACACCCCTAATTTTTTCCTTCAGATTTTGTGAGATTTTATAGTAGTGTTGATTTTGAATCCTTTAGTGATGAAAGTTGTATTTGAACAAAGATTTGTGCTTTTGCCAATGCAGATTTGACACTCAATTGCAGCATTGTTTCCTAATACTGTACTTTTCTTTCCAACTTTGTTCCAGTAGGGGCTGGCGATTAGCTGAAAAAAGTACTCTATTGTGTAAAAACAGTGGCAGTTAATCCAGTGGAGCTCTTTATTTTTGCATGACTGGGATATTGACATACTAAGAGTTGGGAGGTTGATGTGTTGAGGCTCCTTGATTCTTTGATTGACGTTTTGGAGAGTGGAATCATGCGCGCTTCAGGGCCTTTTATATCGACTGTTCATCTGACAAAAAGCCCCTATGTAGTCATCTCCACTCCTCTCTGCTTTTTCTAGTGGCTTCACAAGACTTACAAGAAAAGCTAGAGTGTCCAGCTGTTTTCTCTGCCTCCACCATCACAACCAGAC